AGTCACCAACATTACGTGTTACAAAAAATCACGCATACGAATTAAATTTAATGGCATTTGGCAAACCCAAATTGTTCATTGTGAAATTCATTTGTTCTAGATTTTAACTGTTTGGGAATATGCGTTCGGCATTTTGAAGATTATATCTTTATATTCTTGATCAAAGATGTAATCTTTCTCCGGGCAAAATGGGTTCGCCCAGAGAGAAGAATAGTATATGATGCTATAGCCTTATGGCTTCTTAGTGATATGCATTATTAGTCGTCTCTTTATCCTGGGCGATTCAGAAAATATTATTTTTTTCTATGACCGGTGACAAATCTCACTCAAGATTTGCCTATTTTTTTATTTATTCAGAAAATGTCGAGCAAAAAAACTGTGTGATGTTGTTCAAGTTGCTGTTTTCCTAAGGATCCTTGTTTCCACGGCTAAGCAGATTGTTTTTTGGTTCGTTCCTTTATAGAGTTACATACGTTGCAAAATAAGCAGAAGTTGGAAGCTCTAAGATTGCAATCAAATGTTGATTGCAGCCTATTTTCTAGAATAAAAGAAAGTTTAACTAATGTTTGAGGAAAAAATGTGACGACTTCTAAAAAGGACTATCCCTTGAATGGCTCACGATAAACAATCGACTAAAGTTTCAAATCACTCAATAGACATGAGGCTTTTTTAATACTGAAAACTTTATTTCTGTCTGAGCTACCTGGTATTGCCCGCAATTGGATTTAAACTTTGACCAAGAAAACATGACACTATTTGAATACCTTACACAATATGTGTATTTAAATGTGTTTTGCGCAGCTGGAAACTTGTATTTTCTCCAAGAATATAGCAATTATTCAACAAAATATAAAAACATATTCAAAGTCTTCCATATTTAAGGTATGAGCCAAATTTCCGGCAGGGTGTATTTCACGACAGTAATCGCTGTTTTCTGAATAGTCGCTCACTTGCAGGATACGAGTTGTGAGGGGGCATGAACTGCTAAAATTACAATTTCCACTGTACTGGTGTTTTTCCTAGTTTAACAGCATGTTCAATCAACACTGACTGCACCGAGAGAAAAAACGGTTTAAACGAAAATTAAGGACAACGAGTAAAACACTTAATGGACTGTTAAAACCACTAAAAACACATCAATTATTGATCGATATCTAGCAGCGGAACCAATTAGACCTTTCTTTATCCCATCCAGGTCGCCGGGGATTGTGGCAATTAGCGACGGACGTCACTCTGGACCAGATCCCGTTTCCTGACCAGATCTGTGGGGATTTATGTGTGCTGTGTCGCTTTTGCAGTGATTTCGCAATGCGAATTACTTCTACCACCCAAAGCCAAAATTAGCAATTTTTTTCCAGACTAATGAAAAATGTCGGAATTCCGATTCGACATCGATAGATTTTTCAATATCAGATTTTATGCGAACTGTTTTGACAAGGATTTCCTGTAAACTTTGCAACAGATGCAACAAGTAAATCTAAGTGACTTTCAAAGTTTTAATTTTCGGCAACTTTTTGCTTCCCATCGACCATTAGGTTACAGGTTCAATAGCCACAATATCATCATCTTGTACAGAAGTTTAGACTATGAAAATCGCAATTGGTAGACTTTTGAAACAGTCTGCGACCAGAATTTTATATGGTTATTCGCATGCTCCCAGTAGTTCACATAATACTCTAGTGCTTTTGCATTATTTTGTTTACAGAAACAAAAATACAAACTTAAATAAACGCTATTTAGCAAGTCGTTGTCTAACTGTAGCATATGCACAAATGCAATTAAAATTAGGGCCGAAAAATTCAAGTTTATTTTTAAATTAATTAGTAGGAGCCCACATCCAAAATGTGGATTTTCCGAATTTTCAAATCGTATTAACGCTTTCTTATATCAGATCACAATATTGGAGTGGAAGTTGGAACGTTCATCGGAACATTTTACGTACTTCATCACTCGATCCAATTGCATCCTTACGATTTCACACTATTCCGTTTACCCTTGCGCGAAAGCTAATTAAATGTCTAATTTTAAATCAGTACTTTGCTAAACATTAGAATTTTCAAAAGTTTGCTTAAAATGGCCTTTCAGTTGTGATAAACGATAATTAACTGAACTGTTCGCGCACGTGAGCTCGATAAGACGCTCACCAATAATAATTACCTGTCATTGAATTTTTTTCTGAGAAAATAACGTGTTTCACAGAAATGGCGCATCGTTTATCAGCAATTCTCGTTAGCAAACTCGAGACCCAAATAGTCTCACATTTATCGTCAAATTAAATCTAAAACCAACGGACCCATTTCGTTGCGAATTTGCTCCATGTTTCGCTCTATATACCCCGTTCGATACGCAGTAAATCTCGATACAAGGCAAAAAAGAAGACCGGCAGTGATTTACTCCAAAGGAAAGTTTATCTTCGTTAGCACGCCGGAGACTTATTGGCGTTCTGATCTGAAACATTAGACAAATTAGCCAAATGGCTCGACGGGGAATTAAACACTGCTGCAACAAGGAAACGGACATAAAATATACATTGCTTACCCCTTATTACGCTGCGAAGTAGCTGTTGTAGCTATTCTCATGCTACGTCTTTAAATACAAGACAGATTAGCAGTCCCGGATGGTTTGCCGGTTCGACAGCTTTAAACATTATTTAGGGGCCCACGAACGCTGCCAGTCAAAACGGCATTCGTATGGTCAGAAATTTATAAATAAGCAGTCTTGTACATGCATTAGTGTCTCGAAGGTCCAGTAAGTCCACAACAGAAACAGAACGATTTTAGATTGCTGAGTCGCTATAGTATTAAAAATCAGATACAAATTAATTAAAAACTAGTAATAAAGCAAAGCGAGTATGGATCCAACCGGGCCACAAGGGTTGACAATCTAAGTTTCACATAAAATTAAAGCTTTGAGAGTGAGGATTTGAACTTCCAACTTAAGTGTTCTCAAAACAAAATGTCAATAGCCTGTTGTGCAGAAAAAAAAACACTAATATAACATCTTGGAACCTGATCGATTCTCCATTAGACTTGAGTTACAGAACTATTTCAAAAAGTAGATAGAAGCACGTGAGGAAGTGGGTTTGAACACAGTGGATGGGTGAATAAAAATTAATGAAACATTTATGCATGTAAATCAGAATATAATTCCATTTGGCTCATACCTCATCAAAATTCATACAAAATGAAAGAATTAATAACAGAAAACCTAAATAAAATTATCACCGAAGAAATGCACCAAGCAGCTAAAGAAGCCTTAGGTACAACAAAAAGCAGACCCAGAGAGCAGAATTATTGGTGGAACGATGAGCTGCAAGAAATGAAAAAACCAATGCAACAGTTATTTCACAGATGGTTGAACACGAAGGAATAAGAACACAAAAGAAAATTAGACCTATATTATCCAAGTTAAATCTGCGGTAATATATGCAGAAAACCAAAGCTAGAAAAAGAAACGCAAAGAACTAGATACATATAGGTAGTTGTGGAAGAAAATTAAAAGAATTCTGGAGGCTTGCGAAAATGTGATCTAATTCAAAAGAAAATTTGCGATTTATCTGAATTAAGTTATAGTTAAACCATATTATACGTGATAGAAGTTTATTCCATATCACTGAAAAAACATAAACGCCTTTTTTTTTACAAACTACTTTTTGGGTATTTCGCCTCAAAAATTTTTGTCTTTAAAAAAGACAGAATTTCCTCACGTCTTTTATTACAGATTGATAAAT